TTTTTTTTTTTTTTGAGACGGTCTCACCTGGTCACTCCTTGGTAGAGTGCCATGGCGTCATAACTCATAGCAACCTCAAACTCTTAGGCACAAGTGATCCTCTTGCTTCAACTTCACAAGTAACTGGGACTATAGGTGCTTGCCACAAGGCCTGGCTATTTTCAGAGACAGGGTCTTACTCCTGCTCAGGCTGGTCTCCAACCCCTATGCCCAGGCAATCTACCTGCCTCTGCCTCCCAGGGTACAGGGATTATAGGCATGAGCCATCACACCCAGCCTTGAAAGACATTTCTGAAGTTTGGACTTATCCATGCTTATCAGTGGATGACATACTTATGGTCAGAGCTTTAAGGAAAAGTTATTAAAACAAAGACTGAATGTGGATGCAATAAATATAGAAAAACAGCAGCTGAATGTAATTGAAAAATTATTAAGCACTGACTTGAAACAGATTCAGAATAGTTCTAGATCAATTTAAAATAAAATGAGTTAAATTATAAGGTTAGAGTTTGTATGTCAGTGGAACTTGTATTTCTCATTTTAACAAAAAGCAGCTAGATACATTAAATATCTAACAAAGACACAGCCAAACCATGTAGACTAACACCAGTTACCACTCTCTGTAATAGTTATTCAAACGTAAGAAGTCCATGTAAGGAAAACCAAAAATACATAGGTAAATAACTTTAAAAACACACCTCTCTTTACCTCCCTCTTTCTTATCATCTCCGTCTTTGCTCTTACTCTTCTCATGTTCAGACAAACTGTCTGAAACAAGTTTTAGAGCACGTTCAGTGATAGAAACAATTTTCTGAACTGCCTGTAATTCCTCTTCAGTTGGATAAATGGTTGCATGTTTTGTCATTACATAACGGTCATCAGATGAGTCAGGACGGCGCAAGGGCTAGAAAGAAAAAGTTACTGCATTAAAAAATGTTTCTTGAGCAAAATTAAACTGTTATTTTTCAACTATACATGTATTTGTCATATCTTTTCAGCAAGTAAATTACACAAAATGCCCATTTAAAACCATCTTCTCCTTTATTCCATTTCAGTAAAAATGAAAATGCACACTGAAGAAAATCACACTATCAAGACTATATACATATAACCTAAGGGTGGGCAAATGCTTTTAATTCAACTTTGAAAACCAGTGATTCTGGTGATTCTAAAACTTTCTTTGCTTTTAGTAATTCAAGTTTTATAACTGTCAAGGCTCTGTGCAAAGACAAATAGGTTACAGAAAAGGAGTGTGCTATTTTCTTGTAACTACTCTCTGGAAAACAAAACAAACCACATTTTTAGTAGTCTAATATTCCTTTTACCCATCTTCCACAGAATACAAACTCTGAAGATACAGAGCTTTCTTTCTTTTTTTTTTTTTTTTTTTTTTGAGACAGAGCCTCAAGCTGTCCCCCTGGGTAGAGTGCCGTGGCATTACAGCTCACAGCAACCTCCAACTCCTGGGCTCAAGCGAGTCTCCTGCCTCCGCCTCCCAAGCAGCTGGGACCACAGGCGCCCGCCACAACGCCTGGCTATTTTTTGGTTGCAGCTGTCATTGTTGTTTGGCGGGTCCGGGCTGGGGATTCGAACCCGCCACCTTAGGTGTACGTGGCTGGCGCCTTAGCCAGTTGAGCTATAGGCGCCGAGCCAGAGCTTTCTTTCCTATAGTTTTCCTCATGCACTTTTTTTTTTTGAGACACAGTCTCAAGCTGTCTCCCTGGGTAGAGCACCATGGAGTTGCAGCTCACAGCAACCTCAAGCTCCTGGGCTTAAGTGATTTTCTTGTCTCAGCCCCCCAAGTAGCTGGTACTAAAGGCGCTCGCCACAATGCCCAGCTTTTTTTTTGTCACAGTTGTCAATGTTTTAACTGGGTCCAGGCTGGGTCTGAACTTGCCACCCTTGGTGTATGTGGCTGGAGCCCTACCCACTGTGCTACAGGCGCCGTCCATTAACATACCAATTCTCATGCTTATCTTTACCTTATGTATCATTCAATTTAGGAAAAAAAAAAACACATTTTAGATGGACAGAATTTGAAGAAGGAAAAGAGATTCTAAACTATTGGTAATGGGAAGATAAAAAATAAATTTAAAGACAAAGCAGGTGCCTTCAAAATCAGTTGTTTCTGCTAATGTAAGGAAAAATAAAGGGAAGAAAATGTCTTCTGTGAGAGTTGGCAAAAGCTGCTCGGCTTCCATTTAGCATATACTGAAAATAAAGATTCACAAAAACACATGAAGTACACTACATAGGCAGTGGAGTTGAAAACCTGTAATAAGTAAAGGGAAAATTCTAAGTGAAATTAAATTAAATCAAGATTACAAGATTAAATGTATAGACCCTCAAACTGTTTTCCACTGATGCTACACCAGTCTTAAACTTTCACCCTTTAAAACAATGAGGATACTCACCGCAGGTCCCTGTGGCTGTGGAGGCATGCCTGGTCGGACTCCAAGAAGGCCTAATGGGCCTGGAGGACCATGAGGATAGCCTCCATCGGGCATTCGGCGGCGATCATCCCAATGATGTTGTTCCTCCTCCATTCTTCTCCAGTACATGTCCTCTTCATAACGTCTGAAACATAAAGAATAACATTACATATGAGTAATGTTACTTATGAGGAAAAACACAAACCAAAAGCTTATATCAATAATGACATAAAAAGCAATTAAAAAGTGCGGGCCTAGATAAAACCTTTCTTCTTCCCAACTATACCTGATTTCCCTTATTTGTTTTTATGAGAAGTGAATAGAAATGAACGAATACCAGTGAAAAGAGAACATGATAGAACAAAATGAAAAGCAGAAGAAAATTTCACAGCCTGAGGATAATGTAGAAAGAAAAGGAATTAGAAACCTCTAGGGTTCCTTTCAACCTTTCCTCTTTTAAGGTAGAGATTATGAACCCAAATGCTACCAATTATATATAAGCGATAAAAAACCTAATGTGAACACAAGACATCTAGGAATTTTCTTTTTGTCCTCAAAGAAATGCACGGTCTCCTATTTTTTTCTTTTAGAGAACCTCTTGAGGCTTGGCACCTGTGGCTCAGTGGTTAGAGTGCCGGCCACATGCACTGGGGCTGGTGGGTTTGAACCTGGCTCTGGACTGCTAAAACAACAATGACAACAACAACAACAACAAATAACCAGTGGGGGTGGGTGGGTGGCTGTGGCTCAAAAGGGTACAGCGCCAGCCCATATGCCAGAGGTGGCAGGTTCAAATCCAGCCCCAGCCAAAAA